TCGTAATCCTCTGGAGTGACTTCGGGTTCGTAGGGCTCTTCCTCTGTGGTGAGCGGACACTGAATACATTGAGACTCATTGATGCCATAATTGATACAATAACTGCCAATACATTCGCAACACTTGTCGTGAAACCATCGGTAAGACGTGGCGCCCATCGAAGTGCACGAACTCTTGCACTTCGCCCAAGACATGCACTGAGACATGTAGGCGACCGTACAGTTGACCGCAATGTCCCGCTCGGTGTCCACCCCGTCGTCGGAGCCGTCGCTCTCGCCGTTAGTCGTGTTCTTAGCGGCCGATGAAGAAGAAGACGACGACGAGTCCATAAACACAATCCTCGTCGGTATTGTATGCGATGTCCACCGAAGCAAGTGATCGGTCTGTTCGGTGAGCACTGAGAACAGCTCCTCCTGAGGCTCCACCAGGTCTTCCACATGCGATTTGGAGGCCAACGACGTCTCCGTAGTGTTCGGTTTGGGGCACATCTGAACGCAAGAGCAACAGTCGTGGTATAGATAGTCGAGACAATGAAGACAATCGCGACTACAGGTCCGGTTCCGCTTAAAGTCATCGCATTTGCAGCTCTTTGTTAGCATACATTTGCTTACGATTGACGCACAGACGGCTTCGTTACAGCCCTGGACACTACCCATCCCTCCCATACCCACCGCTACCGCTATCGTTATCATCATTGCCACCGATGGTGACCACCAATACATCGCTTTAACCACTCGTTTAGTCAATGGAGTGATAGTTTTGGCAAAACTATGGCTACTTTTCCTTCCGTCTGATGAATGAATGCTTGAATATTTAAGCGAAAAATATTTGCGTAAAACTTTCAAAATCAATAATTTAAACGTCAAATGATTCACTCAAACATTTGATGATTTAAAACAAGTGTTAAAATAATTATTACGTAATTAAAAGTTACTGTTATGTAATGATTACGACTGACATCTGTGTTATTGGCTTAAAATCAAACTTTTTATAAATTAATGTCATCGTTCAAATATTTTTCAGTAAAATATCCTTTTAATCAACAACTTATGAGGTATTTGTGAAAAGTCACACAAAATTGCAACAAAAGACCAAATTTTGAATATCATAAATCAAAAATAAACTCAAATGCAAAAATATCTATCAAAATGACGGTTAGGATCACAACTTGGATGCGGTCTTATCGGGCAAACCAAGTATGGCCTCGACCTCGAAGAGTGCGCCCAACGGAAGAGCGGCCACACCAATGGTACTGCGGGCCGGATATGGTTTGTTGAAGTATTTGGACATTGTTTGGTTAACTTTGGCGAAGTTATTCACATCAGTGATGAAAATGTTGACTTTGACGGCCGCGTCCAGCGATACGCCCGACGCG